AGTGGAGTGCATGTTACAGCACCTGCCTACCATGCATGAGGCCAAGCACCAACAAAACAAGACACGATACTTAGTGTTGGGAATATGTTAAAAACTGTACCATACTAAATGCCACTAAGGAAAAACATGTGATGCTAATGACACTGGGAGACCGGAAAACATTTACTATTGGTCCATTGAGGAAGAAAACACATGAATAAATCTGGAAGGTTGAAGGAGATGCTACCTTAAGAGCACGGTTTTATGTAGCACTTTTCCTCTGAGATAGAACCTTCCCTCTTGGAAGTTCCTTAAGAGGCAGGATGTTAACAGGAAAGTGAAACTAAAGAGAACTGTTCTAAGAGGAGGTTAAGCATCCCATCTGCTCGGGAAGCTCTTTAAACTCAGAAGTAAATAACTAAATAGCTTCAGAGTCCCTGAAATGGATCAGTTTCACTAGGCTCCTCCCTCCCCAGGCATACTAAGCATTGAGGACTACTAAGAGATACTCTCAAACCAGCCACATTATCTTAAAGGGGCAGAGACCAGTTGAATGGCCTGAAGAGGCTCAGACCAACTGAGCCACCTGGAAAGGACACTCTCCAACCTGTAAGGTACCCGAAAGCTATGTAATATGATCCAGGTTCCCAGCATTTGTGCGCTGTCACTCAGGCCAGAATGAACTTTGGTAACACAGATGTCTAAGAGTTATTTCTGCTCCCATAAATAACACCTCACCCATATTCTTGTAAGCAATTCCAATAAAATGTATTGGTTTACCAAGTAAGACTTTGGTGGTAACCTTACATTGGTCTGTTGTCAGTTTCCTATCTGCAGGGAGAAAAGTCTGTTCATATCTCCCCAGGAATAGTGCCACACAACAGGAGGGGAACAGATGGGCAAAGGTTTCAGGGAGAACATTTACCAAGAAACCATAAGGCACTATGTAGCAGATGTTCATGGCAAAGGGGTTTGGGATGCAGCTAGAGTTTGTGAGTGGGGACTAGATTGGATAGCAGTATCTTTTGGTTTTCACTTTAAGAACCAGAGACTGACACAATGTTTTAAACAGGGCAGGTATGATATTAGCAATATTAAGTTTATGCTTTCAGATTGCTTTGCAAAACAAAACAAAACAAAACAAAACAAAACATGGGTAATAATAGCAAATGTGTGGTTAAGTGTGTTGAACCATGGCTGCAGGAGCGTGGGAAATTGTTTGGAGATGGAGGATTTGGTTTCTATGCAAGGATGAAATTTCTGACTTGGTCTTTTTTAAAAATTCATTTTGTGTATATGAGTGTTTTGCCTACATGTGTGCCTCTGTAGCATGTAGAGTCACAGAACATTGTGAACTACTATGTGGGTGCTGGGAACTGACATAGGTCTTCTGCAAGGGCATACTCATTGTTACCTGCTGAGCTGGCCCTCCAGCCCCTGGCTTAACCCTCTTAAACAAACTTCCAGTTTGATGGTAGGAGGACATCACCAAGTCATCTAAAAGTTACATTATACACTAAACTGTTAACAGTCTCCTTTGAGGACTAGGAATGAAGGGAGACTGGAGGTAACACCTGTTAAAAGCAGGGCAGCACTCACCCTTAGTATTTCTGAACTGTTTTTCCCTTAGTGAAACTGTATAATACAAGTAAAAGTTTAAGTAATAAATAAAACCATGAAATTATATATGTAATGTAAGTGGAGGAAGTTAGGGATGACATGTCTAGCTTTGTTCTACAACAGAAAGTCCAAAGAGTGAGAAAGTGGGATCTAATATCCAACAGACACACAAATAGCATCATAAAATGTTTTCATTCATAGCTTTGAAGTTCATTCAGTAAAAGTCTTAAGTTGTCCATACTGGTGTTTTCAACATTACAAAAGCCTAAAAAGACAAATAGGGAGCTGGGATTGAACCATGTCTTACTTAAATAAACATTAACTACAAAGACTAGGAGGGAAAAAAAGATAACAATGACTTTGGATAATACAGGGCAAGGGCCTGTCCATTTTCTAAACAGACAAGCTGAAGTCCTTGTTTAGAATATAAAACCTCAAATATCCAAGAATCAGAGTCCAACTCAGAATAATTTACAGGCACCTGGGCAACAAGCCCTGTTCCGTGAAAGGAGTCTCTAACATACTAAACTATTAAAGGTGCACCCATCAGAACCCTAAATTCAGCCAGCATTAGCTCAAAACCATATTCAAAAGCACAATCTGCACTGTTTCCTTCCAATAATCCATTTGATTTTTGGTTGCATTATTAAACTGTCTTTAGTTTCTTCAAGCTGTATACTCCTACCTCTGGCATTTGAGATAAATAACACTCAGATCACTGTGTGCATTTCTCCCTTCATTCCATTTACTAAGACTTGGTATAAAAAATATTAAAGGAGCCAGGAAATGCAATGAAAAAATTACACATTTAAAAGAAAACTCAGCATTTACTTCACCATAGTGCTGAGGTTCAAAAGCACCGTGAATCACCAACAATTGTATGGAGTTAATACAAAACATTTCAGTCATGGTTCAATCAGTCACCTCTGGAGCCAAAGAGCCTCTCATTCCTCTGCCACAGACGATCAATCAAAGTCCCAACCATTTGTTTTCTGACTTCTGTGCTCTTTGTTACACAGAAGCAAACAGAGTGTGCCACAAAGGGGCAGGACCCATGTTGGGCTTTCACACAGCCATTTAAGGTGCCCTGTGATTGCAATTCTAACATCCTAAACCAGCCATACACAAAATTCATGTTGAAATCCTAACCTCCAAGGTGTCATGGCACTAAGGGATGGAACCTTGGAGTGGTCATATGGGTAGAGCCCACACAAATGGAACCAGTGTCCTTATAGCAGAGGGCCCAGAGAACGCAGGTGCCTTTCGTTGATGACAAACCACACCCTCACCAGAGAAAGGTACCTTGATTTTGGCCTGCCAGCCCACACAGTTGTAAGAATCAAATGCCTATTGATTCTAAGCCACTCACTAGTCTATATTCTCCTGTGGCATCTACCTGCAAAGAAAACTAAAGGTTGAGGAAAGGCAACAGTCCCCTCGGAAGCTATTAACCAGTAGTTCTGTTTGTTCAATTTCCTTTCAGAGCCTTCACTCTCTAGCTTCCCCCAAGGCTCTGCACTGCACTTGAGATCAAATGGCATCCCCTAGACCCTCGGCTAATAATCCTTAGATTCCTGTGGGACAGCTAACCAAGTGTGGAGAGAGCAGCTTTTCTTCTCTTTAAAGATCTTGCCATGTAGTTGAAAGTCACCTGTAACCCTCAGGCTGTTTGCTTTGAACTCACTTGGTTTCCTAAATGCAGGAATTACAGGCACACACTACCACTCCTGACCAGGCAGTCTACTTTACTGATGTATTAGTGATGGAAACAAAGCCACAGACATCCTGCTAGTCCAATCCAGCCGAACCGATGGTTGTAAAGACTATCATGTGTTTTACTAGGGCTAGGTGAAGTTCTTACATTGTTCTAATAAAATGCTGTGCTGGAGCCCACCAGGCTGACTGCTGGCAAACTCATGCTGTGTGAAGTCAGTGAGTGACTGGGTTTGTTGCCACAGCTTGCTACCCTGATACTGCACTTGAACAAATGGAAGAACAAACTAGCACGCTTCTTTCAAGTTATAAACCCTAAATGGGTGCCCATGGATTACCAAATGACAGCTTGAAGACAGTATCGGAGGAGGATGGGGCTATAGTCAGTGATAGAGATTTGTAATAACACCTACAAGGCCCCAGCTTAGATTCACAGGTCATAAAAATATTTAAATGAAGGTCTGTCCAGTAATTACCATAATGAGCTGTAACTGGCTGACCACTCATTAGTCATTCACTGGACTATATAGAGATCCACAGATGTCCAGTATGGGCCCTTGGATGTGCATAGGTCTCAGAAAGCATTTTCATACAATTCCATGACATTTTAAAGCCTGAGAAGTAGGGAAACACAGTTCTCATTTTAGTAAAAGCTCTCTCTCTTCTAAAGTAAATTCTCCATCCCTGAATATCCGCTTGACTGTATCTAAGTCTGATAGTATTATCGAAATGAAACAAAAGGCAAGAGTCACAAAACATTCTTTCAAATTAGGACTAGTTTCCAGACCAAATCCTTTATGAGCTTTTGAAGTTTTAAAAATTCTGACCTAAAGTCAGAATTGAAATGCTTTGTTTCGAGAATTTGTAACAAAACCACTCTTAGGTATTTATTTTTATTCATGTGTATGTTGCATTGTGTCCAGGGGCCAGCGGGAGCTGGAAGAGGGCATCAGATTCCCAGAGCTGCATTTACAGGCAGTTATGAGCCTGCTGGGAACTGAACTTGGGTCCCTCTAGAACAGCAGGAAGAACGCTTAATGTCCGAGCCATCACTCCAGTCCTCCTCTCAGGTGTTTTACAGGAAGTGGACTCTGGATTATTTCAGGTGAGAAGCAACCTCAGAGATAAAAGCCAGAGGTGGTGCCTCATGCCAGTAATCCTAGAATCCTGGAAATGGAGGCAGGAGAATCACCATGATCCAAGACTCCCTGACTAGATACTGAGCTCAGCCTAGTTTCCAGAGTGAGACTGGTTCAAAAACTGAAATCACAACAAATGCCTTCCATTACTTACCAGGTATTATAGTCCCTGTCTATCTTCTTACTCTCAGAGGCAATGCAGGTCACTAGTCCAAAAGGGCCAGGGAGACCTGGTCACAACTAATTCACATCTTGTGCTTCTTGAAAAGGTTAGGCCTCCCTTGATAATAACTTCCCATGCAAAGAAAAGACCTTCTTGCTAACAGGCAGCATCATTCAAGTTTGACCTTCATTGTCATTTTAACAGCATCCACAAAGAATCTGATTTAGTTATTAATGGCTTACTTTATTTTAAAAAACTGATTTTGTAAGTGTATGTAAGGAATTAAGCTTTATAAAATAGTTTTATTCTATGTATGTGGATTACCTTAAAATATGGAGAACCAAATTTCTTCTTTGGTTTTATCTTACGGGAAAAATAACACACAGTCTCATCACATGGCTTTGCGATATTTATATTGCATTGCACAGATGTGGGCTATACAAATCAGTAACACGAGTGGTTGCTTAAGTTCCAAACATTTGTTTAAAATATTCTTACAGCAGAGGCCTAGGATGTTGAGACGTCAAGGTGAAATCATACTCTAAAGTAGTTAAATGCAACACCGAGAGTACTGCAGCTTAGTTAAAGGAATATTAGAGCTGGGCTCAAAGGCTAACAGACAAGGGAGCAGGGCTGGGAGCATCTACAAGTCAGTCACTGTGGTCCTTTTAACACACATAAATGACAATTCCTTAGGTAACCCTTCCTCTCGGAACTGCAGAAATAACACATAAGGTCAGATAAATGAAATTATTCCTAATATGTAAGCTCTATGGAGAACTAGGATGCCACACATTTGCTAAATCAAGTATCAAAGACAACACACTTAGAAAGAAAAAAGGTTGTTTTCTTTTTTTTTAGATAATGGTTTTAATGGAATTAAATGAGATGAAAAGACAGTGAAGCCCTGTTTGCTACTTACATGAAAAGAAGACTTTAAAAAATAATCACTGCACAAAATACAAGGGGAGGGCTATGCTGTGGCTTTAAATTTCTCCCCATGCTTTTCTTGACTGCTCAAGAACAAATTGAAGTTTCCACAACAAAGCTGTTCTCGAAATGCCGAATGGCAAAACAGTTACTGGCTTCACGCTTCTGAATACCTGTTGGGGAAGACAAAGGGTTTGGTTTTTAAAGGTTTTGTTTGGTTCTTCAGTGATAACTACTCACATTAATTCTCAGTTTCTCTTTAAAGAAGTATGCCACGCCACATCCACCCACAATTTCCATTCTTTAAAGCTGTTCTCCACTGCATCTTTTCAGACACCACAGCAACTGGTAACCGTGCTTTACAAACCGCTTGCAGATGTATGAGCGTGAAGGTTTGGGGAATGTCCTAGTTATGTGTGTTGCACACACACACACACTCCCATGTGTGCTTGCAGAATTGCACACCAGGACAGTTGGACATCATTCTAGCAAACTGGTTTTAGAAAATTATGAACCAAGATAGTAACTTATATGTAAGAAACCAAGTGGTGGGTTTCAGATGACTCAGCAGCCTGAGCTGAGAACAATGTCATTACAAGTTATGAGAAGAGGCCAAGAAAGCACTTTTACTGGGTGATGTAATCCCCAAGAAATCAGACTGCAGTGTCGCTGATGGCACTGTGGACTTTGTGTATCATCGCACACACTTTTGTTTTGCATTTGTAATGGGCACATGCTGCTACTCTTACTGTTCAGGGGGAAAAGCAAGGCTACGTGCCTGGCCAAAGCTGCATGGTTATATCAATGCTCTGGATTCGTCACCTACATTTCTTGCTAAGTCACCTGGCTATGGCTTGTCCTCAGTATGATCCAAAAGGTGGATGGCCCCGTGAGAATTCAGATCCCTGAGAATCCAAGTGAAATGCTGAAGAGAGACCTCTGAATAATGAGACCCCCAAACCTGACTTTTCTACATGCAGGTTGATGGGTGGGCATCTCAAGGCAATGGCATTTTGTGCTGACTGACTTTATCTGGGAGAAGTGGCTCTGGGATTAAGATGATTCTAAGTTCTGGAAATATGAGTCAAGTGTGACTCAGTACCCCTTTCATTTCTCATCTGTGGCAGCAACATCAATCACAATACCTAAGTGCCATAGGAACTATGCGATTGTCTTTACCTCTAATACTTTCTCTGCGTTGCAGCTTGTAGGTTTCCTTGTCATGACACAGTCGATAAATGAAGAAGCCCAGGTGGTCCACGTTTTCGATGCGGTCGGTAATCACCATGTGCTCATGAATAAGGTATGACTGGGGCAAGTAGGTTCCAGCCTACAGTGGGAAAATGTGATGCAAAACTTTCAAAACACAAACTGAGCAAACAAGAAAGGCAGACAAAGCCTCGGGTGATAGTTTTAAAATGGGGTTTGCGAATATTTTTCCATTTTATAGATCTAGTTTTGATTTTTGAATTGGGGTCTCACTTTGTTGCCCAAGCCAATCTTCATTCAATTCCCGAACTCAGATCATTGTTCTGCCTCAACCTCCCAAGAAGACAGGGCTGTGTCCAGGCACGTGTCACTGTACCCAGCAATACAGTTTTGTTACAATTCAGCCATGCCCATCACTGAGGCATCAGAATTAAGTAGCTGGTTAATATTTATTTTCTAGTCCTTCAGGAAAATTTAAATGTGATGAAAAAAATTTTTAATTTTTTAAAAATTTCCATTTTATTTATCATTTACTATGTGCATGTGTACAGTGTGTGTGCATGTGTAGTGTCTCTGTGTCAGTGTGTTTGTATTATAGTGTGCATGTGTAGTGTTTGTGTCAGTGTGTTTGTATTATAGTGTGGATGTGTAGTGTCTCTGTGTCAGTGTGTTTGTATTACAGTGTGGATGTATAGTGTCTCTCTGTGTGAATAATATGTGCATGTGTACTGTCTCATGCATGTGTAGTATCTGTAATGCAGTGTGTGTATGTACAGTGTATGCAAGTATACTGTCTCTGTGTGTGTGCATGTGTAGTGTCCGTGTGTGCACTGTTTGTATATGTGTAACGTGCACATGTACACAGTATGTGCTATGTGCAGGTGCATGTGTATAGAATGTGGAGGCCTGAGCATGGATGTTGGGGATCACTTTCTGGAGCTGCTTCTTTCCTCCCACTGTGGGTTTTACGGATTGAGCGCACACTGTCAGGCTTGCATAGCAAACACTCTCACCGGCTGGGCTCTCTCCAGCCCATTTTGAATGCTTTAAATTTTTTTCTTTTTTTCTTCTTCTGGTTTTTTGAGACAGAGTTTCTCTGTGTAGCCCTGGCTATCCTAGAACTAACTCTGTAGACTAGGTTGGCTTCAAACTCACAGAGATCCATCTTCCTCTACCTCCGGAGTGCTGGGATTAAAGTCATACGCCGCCACCACCTGGCTAAAAATGTTTTTAACTTCAAAATTTAAAGCATTAAAAATTAAACATAGCACAAGTGTCAGCACTTTGTTGTAAAACCCTTGGCTACACTCCAGGAGAGTGAGCTCCGAGAAGGCTAACTTTTCAAAGAGGAATTCCATGACACAGTAAACACTTGATACCTTGATGTTAATAAGTAGCTCCAACAGGTTTCTGGGTGGCATAACGATGGACGTGTTCAGAGGAATCACGTAGCACTTGTCCAGGTTAAGGTCCAGATAAGCAGTGAGTTTCTGGAGAAAAGATATATCTCAGTCAGATGAGTGTACTGGAGATACATAGAATGCTACTGGCAAGATGGGCCCACTTTAGAATTTATAAGTCACTTGTATCTCAGTAAGAACTGGGTGCGGTCAGCAGGCAAGCCACAGACAGAGAGGTATGGGAAGGCCAGGCCTCAGAGGGAAAGGAACCTAAATCTATTTTTGTTAACCCCATGAGACAGCACTTCACTGTGTGGACCAGGATGGCCTCAAAGTTTTGGTCCTCCAGTCTCAGCCTCCCCAGTGCTGGCACAAGACACATGCTCTGAGTCACCAACTCTCCCCATCCTCTCTCTTAAGTACCAACTAAACCCTAGATAGAAGAATTTAGCAAATATTAAAACTGCAAATACCCTGGAGAGCCCTATGCTGTCCACAATCCTGGACACAGACAGGCTCACCTTGTTAAAGTCATGCACAATGTTGGCAGGGTCACTGTCTGCAAACTCTGGAACAGGCACACTGATGAATTCAACCTCATCTTCCTCAAAGATCTTAATGTTCTCTTCAATTGTCTGATAGCGAGCAGCTGGAGCATCTGCAGAGGGCTCGTTCAAGATGACATCATCTTTGATATACTTCAGTCCGCAGTAGTACACATCGTCGGGCTGCAGAGTTGAAAACACTGCCTTTCAGCAATCTTGCAGGAGACGGGCATTTAAGTGCAAGCCTCACTTAAGCTGCCACTGCTATCTAAATAGTATTCTGCTTGCAAACTCCTACTTTTCAGACAACAAGTCAGACAGTTTAATTACAGAGCTAACACATTCTTTATCAGATTCTGAAATTGTCTTTTTTTAAGGTCTTTCAGAAGGAGACAAGCAGCTGATTTCCTCTTTACTCTTTGTGGTAGATAAAAACAGTACGAAAACTATCTGGTGTCAAGTGAAGAGACACACAGGCCTGCTCCTACCTGTAGGCATTTTCTCATAGAATACATTCATAAGCAAGTAATGCTTTCCTTTTTTTGGAAATAGACTCTCAGGTTGCCCAGGCTGCCCTGTATCTTGCTATATAGCCAAGGATAACCTTAAACTTTTGATCCTTCAGCTTCTACCAGGCAAGCCCTACCATGCCTAGTTTATGTAGAGCTGGGGGATTATGCCCACTCACACACACAAGTAAGTATATGTATGTAATAAACATATTTTTAAAATATACTTAAAGACAGAGTATGTAACAAAACATTTCAGGACCAATTGTTCTCTCAACAGTGGAATTGCATATTATTTCTTCTGTATCTTATGCTTCTTGTAAAACAAAATACTACATTTAAAAAGATGTAGCCAGGAGTGGTAATAGTGCATGCCTATAATCTCAGCACACAAGGTAAAGGCAGGGCAATCAAAAGTCCAATGCCAGACTTGCCTTCATAAGTCTATTTCAAAATAACCAAAAAATTTGCATTTACCCTATTAGTTCAGTAATGTTTATCAACATGCCATCATCTGGAGATGCAGTTCATATAACCTTTGGAAGAAGACTTCAAAATTAGTGTAAAAACTGTTGAGAAGTGTTTCTCCCTACTTTGAAACATTAAAACGTTTGACGTAGTCACACAAGATTTAAAGTAAATTTCTCCCAAGATTCCTTAAGATGGGGGTTGGGCAGACCATATCATAAACCATAATTAAATGGAATCAATGTCTTGACACAGAGAGTCCTATGAGCATTAAGTTACAGGCAACTTTCCCAAAAGTGACGTCATCATCTCTGCAAGTTACCCACCTCTTAGACAAAGAGCCATCTTGTACTGACCCAAACTGGCTATGCAGTGATGGCTCTGCCAACATTATAGCTTGTATATCCATCCAAGTGGCAATTTATGATATATCTCTTTACTATCAACTATGGTAGGAAAAGTCTATTTTGAACATCCAACAACTTAAACTCATCTGCAGTATCCAAACACCATCATTCTGCTTTCAATGATTATGTGTTTAATTTTCTAGTAACCACACGAGTGATTAAAGGCTCCAGACAGATAGTGCTCTCTTAGGGCAAGGTAGGGATCATGTTCTAATTCACAATGGAAGGGAAAAAAAACCCAGACCAAAAAATATTCTTCTGGAGCTGGGAGACTGCTCACTGGTAAAGAAAGGTACTTACCACTGAGCCTAATGATTTCAGTTCAATCCCTGGGACCCACATGGTAAAAGGAGAGAACTGACTCCATACTGCCTCTGACCATGCCCCTTCCCTATAAATACATAAATGTAGCAAACAAGAGCTTGAATATCTTTTTACGATACCTGAAGTGCAAAATACTTGTAGAGGTATGCGCCTCCGAGGATGACACCAGCGAGCATGAACGCCAGTCCAAAGCACATGCACCAGCACCATGCTCGTCTCTGTCCAACTGGGACCACATCATCCGGGTCCTAGACAGTAAAAAGGACAGCCAGTTAATGCACAGAATCACAGATGACCAGGGATTATTAGTGAAGATAAAGACCAAGGAGTTGAGGCTCTGATCAAAACCAACCATGGAATGAGGAAGAGGGGCACCAAGACCCCTCTGCGTCTTCAGACGGAAAGGACACTGGTCCCCAGGGAGACTTCTAGGCAGAAGTCTTCTAACAATGTCTTGAGCAGTAATACAAACACAATTTTTATTTTTCATACACAACTTTTGGCACTGTCTTCTAACATTTGAAATTCAGGAATCAACAAAACCTTGTCTTAAAGTATTATAAGAGTACATTACACAGGTTAGGTATTTCCTAATTGGATCATTTACAAAACTGTTAGTCTTTACAAGTAGTTTATTGATTGCATTCCAGATATAAAACCATTCCTAGCAATCTACAGGAAAAAGCTAGCAGAACAGTAGCAAAAGAGTGTCAGGACACGGAAATTCCTTGGATAGACAGAATCTAAAAATCAGGACACAGTTACTTATCTAGAATCATCCTACAATTCCACCTTGCCTGAATCATTTTCTTTTTAAGAACTAGCCCTAAAACCCAATATGGACTACCTCATCAGAAAATGGTAGACTTAACCGAGGTCTGTATTACAGCACATAAACAAGTGAGACAGAAAAACTAGTGAATGAACAAAAACACGGTGAGTCAGCCTATGGCCCAAGAGAGCCGATTTGGCTCATGTGACAAGTGACTTAGGAATGAAAACTACAGTCCTATATTTCCTATTGTAAGATAAGAGAGCATATTTGGATTCTATTGGGCAAAGTCCAATTCCAGGTATTGTAGCCACCAGGAACAATGTGGGGCTAGATAGATGCACTCCTTTGTTTTGTTGAGGGAGGTTCTCACCATGTAGCCCAGGCTGACTCAAAGTTGGAGCAATCCTCTTGCCTCTGAGTCCCCACCAAGTGCTATGATTGCCAGCGTGTGCTGTTACATTTACAGGGTAGGAAGCTTTATTTGTAAACACAGACCCTTACAGAATAACAAATAGCACTAAATGTCAGGTTCAGATCAAAAGCTGTGGGTGGAGAGGACTACATTTCAGGTAGTTCTCATTAATGACTGTGTGTGGGTATTTACATCAGCAAGTCTACTAAAGTGTAGCATGGAATGGGAGTGAACCAGGAGATATCTTATTAGTGGAAAGTTCTATGAATTCCACATCTTATGATAAGGTTTTATAGACATGAACAAGAAAGCACACAACATCTGCTTGAGTTTGCTTGACAGCATCGCAGGAGACACACACAATTACTCTCAGGGTGGGGACAAATGTGGGGGTTGGAATGACAGATGGAAACGGTCACTCGTGGCATTTGGTATCAGCTGCTCTGACAGCCAAGTATGCACATACCCAAGCCTATCTGCCAGGCTCCCTCCTACGAGCACATAAATGAATAGCTAAGGAGCACTTGTGGACGGCTGAGAAAGAATACACAGCCTCACTGTTACACAGACAGTTGAGTTCTCCGGCCTTTTATCATTTTAACTATGCAACAAACAGTAATTCTGAAAATAAATTACACATGTCTAATGCATCTAAACAGTTGTATTAGGCAACAGGAATATAGACTTGGCCAAGGAAAAGATGGGTTGGGTCATTCTAGAAAATAAATATACAAAAAGAGCCAGGCAGGCTATGTATACCTACAATCCTAGCACTTGGTGGCTAGGCAGTGACTGCCATGAGTTGAAGATCAGCCTAGACTACACTGTGAAGTCTAGGCCAGCCTGATCTATCATATAAGACCCCATCTCCCGTATAAGAAGACACAAAATACCATAAATATGGGCTCTGGTAGGAAAAATGCATGGAGCATATGAGATAGGATGAGTTAAGGGAGACTTCACAGGCAGAAAACAGGGCATGGAAAGTTACAGGACAAACACACATAGCCAGGCAGAAGACAGTGTTCCAGGAAATGATATAAAAGGTAAAGAATGAATAAAATCATGAAGGCAAGATACAGGGCACTGCCAGGGAGACCTGGTGCAGCTGAGCATTCACTGTGGTGGGAGGGACCCTAGGATGAAGAGAAAGAAGTAACTGGAGCAGGCCACAGAGGGCCTCCGTATGGAGTGAAGTCTTAAGTTATTCTAAAAAATCATTATAGCAGAAGACTAGACTAATTTGTTAAAGAACTTCATTTTAAAACACTTTTTTAAATAGTTACTTAGCACCTGAAACATGGCTTGGGAATAAAAACATCAATAAGCTTCTACCTCAGTAGCTAAATTACAGACCCAAGTCCATATACCGTTGGAACTTCCTAACAGCTCTGATCTGTTTCCTCATATTGCTTAGTCACTTGCTTTCTTGATTAGAAATTCACGTAGAGATCTTATCTCTTGTTACTAGGCTAGACAGTTCCTGTGTTTATTCGTGTTCATTTTGCATTCCTGGAAACTCTAAGCCACACTTGGCACTTAGTTAACATGCAGATAACTGATGATTGAATGAAGAAAGAGCTTGGCTGTTTAACTTTTCATGATTCACAGAAGTTGGATCAGCAGCCAGAAAGATAATGGAGGGGACAACACAATCATCTATGATGTATGACAAACTGGCTATCTGGCAAACGTGGTTAACTGCGCTTAACCTAACATCTGTTAAGGCCAGCTACGTGGAGCACACTGGGCAAGATCAGGAAATTCAAATGTGACTAAACCATGCTTCACACCATCAGCAGTTTATGAATTAAAACAGGTATGGCAGATATGAAGGCCCACACTACAATTTGAGTAACAGACCAAGCATAAAGCACATTCAAGATAAAAGTCATTGAGCTAGGTCTGGTGGCTGAGGCAGGAGAACTGCCACAAACTCAAGGCTAACCTGGGCTACATTGCGTGTTCCAGGTCAGACAGGACTATAGTGTCAAAAAATGAAAATAAAACAAAATAAATATAGATAAAACACAACCACCACCAAACCTCACAGAGCAAAACCTAAACACACCTGTTGGCTTACTAAAACTCACACCATAGCCTTTCTGGTCAGGAGTACAAAGATGCTCATTATTGAAGTTGAGTCTGTTTCTACTCAGTGAAGGACTTACGTCCCAGTCAGGACACAGATGACAATAGGCACAGGGTAGGAATAAAAAAAAAAAAATGTAGAAAATCTAACAAAGTCAAATCATCCTACTAAAGATCAAGTATGAAACATCATCTCTCCTTGGACAGGGTGACATAAGCCTGGGAAGCAAAAGCAAAAGGATCAAGAGTTCAAAGTTGGGCTGGCGACAAGGCTTGGTGCTTAAGATCCTTGTTACTGCTCTTGCCAGGAGTGCAGGCTTAGTTTCCAGCACCCAAATCAGGTGACTCACAACCATCTGTAACTCTAGTTCCCAGGGATCCAACACTTCTTAGGACCTGGGGATCCACACGTGGTACATATGCCTTCTCAAGCACATACACACACACACACACACACACACACACACACACACAAATTAAAAGTACTATACAAATTCAAGGTAATCCTTCCTACCTAGTTTTAACAATGCTTAGGTTACATGAGAGCCTGCTTCATTCAAAATACCAAAGAAGAAAAAAAATTTGCCTGTTAAGTATTTATAGCATCATTGTTCAAACTTGTCCCAAACTAAAACAAACCCAAATATTCATTAACTGATATGTAGATTTCCATTTATCACACCCACATTATGAAACACAGCAGCAAAGGTCCTACATTTTCTGTGTGCTTCAAACATTTTATAATTTAAAAGAGGAGAAGCCCACCACCATGTTCTTGTGTTTTTTTTTCTTTCTTAACCCTAGTGCTTAAAATCTGCATTAGAAATCTCTTCATAAACTCCAAGTCTGCCTAAAATAAGAAGAAAAAAAAAGAAAGAAAGAAAACTCACAAGCAAGCCGTTCACCAGGGTACGTAACTTTATTTGGCCTGATTTAACTGGAGACACAGATCTCCTCCCTCTACAGCACTGGAACTAGTGCACCTTAACTATGCTGAGAACTCCCGCAGGTCCCACATAATTATCAGCTCGTTAATCCTCCTGAAAGTCAAGGTTTTAACCCAGTTTATTAATGAAGACAGCAAAGCACACCTGGGCCTACTCCCATCCTCTGCAGCAGACGGAAAGAAATGGCTTCCAGAGCCTGGCTTGGGGGTCCAAGGCTTTCATCTCACCTACCCAGGAGGCTGAGGCAGGTGGGCTGCAGTCAGAAGGCAGCCTGAACAACTTAAATTTAAAAAAGAAAAGAAAAAAAGACTGGAATATAATGTGGTGGCAGGTGGCAGGGTGTGTGGCCGACACACGGAGACCAGGTTCAGTCTCTACTGCACAGACATGGTTCAGTATTCTCTCTTGGGCACCACAATATTTTCTGGTTAGAATAAATCTTACCAGACAATAAAGCAAGATCACTTAACTATATCTTAAGCAAAACAAAGGCTAAATTGTGTTTTACTTTCATTAGTTATGAATTAGGTCACCTCAATCAGTTCCCTAAGAGGCTTCAATAAATGGGCTTCCATCATAAACGTAGCGCAAATAAAATGTAGGCTTAGTTGTTTTGTTTTTTTTTTTTAAAAAAAAACTCTGTTTCATTGTAAATACTTCACATCCTTCACCACTTCTATTTGGACCTTATTTACATAATGAATGGAGCTTGGAGCCTTTTAAGAGACATTTTCCATAGCTCTTCAAATGTAACGGCTTGCCTTTCACAGCAAATGCTGTCTCAGTGTCTCAGACATCACAACAGTAAGGAGGAAAATATCTCAAGTATTAAAAAGTACAGGGCCAGGCTACGATGTAGGTAAGTGAGGGGAATGCTTGTCTAGCATACTGAAGCCCTTGGGTTTGCTCTTCAGTGCCACCTGCTTGAAACCAGGTGCGGTGGGTACACCAGTAACCTGCCCACTGAGATGTAGAGGCAGGAGGAACAGAAGTTCAAGGTTACCCTCAGCTACAAAATGAGGT